TAGCTTGCTAGTATCGATGTGTGTTCTCATACTGTGTTTATTTTCTGTGCAGTGTGTGCCTCCATGAGATCAACCACAACACGTATTTATAGGCAGCATTCAGAGCTGTTTCAATGGAAGAAGTTAATATAGCATGCTCAGCTTGTCAACCAGAGTAGTAATCTTGTGTAAAAATTCCACGGACGCAACGTGCCCTCGGTGGAAAGTTTTTTTTCCCCAACATGCATGCTGGTATAATTCTCACATGCATGGCTTGGCCTTCATATGTGGTGTACTACATGTATGCCAAGAAGTTTTTCATTTCAAGACGACGACTTTTAAATTTTGCATGTACGTTGCGTAGCTAGAAATAATGCATGCAGCATGTCTTAAAGTCGTAGCTCATCTAGCTGGTACGTCCATACATATATGTGCGTCGGCGGCCAAGTTTACCACCCACGTGTATATATATACACATACGGCTTTCTTTGGATACATATGTATTCACTCCAATCAATATGTGTTGGAGTGAAATGGAATGAAATTTAGTTTAATTTCACTCTAATCTATTTTAATACATGTGGATTGAGATGATTACATACGCATCCAAACAAAACCTACGAGTATATCTATGTGTCTACATGTGCAACTTAAAGTCACCATGCGTGCACGTTGCTTGTCCGTTCCCTTACTTTGAAAAGCAGTATTAAGCGCCGGATATGCAGCTTAATTTCCACGCCTCAAATTGAAGATATGCACGCCTGCTTTCTCGACTTTTTTTAGGTAACGGAAAAAAGAGAGACTCAGCAATAAATAGACTCGGCACATGTCTGGTTCAAGGCATACAATCTCCGACTTCTATCATGACTTGTGCAAGCGCTAGGAATTACTCCTCAGACTCAAATTTTCTTAATTTTGATTAGAGTCGATATCGGAATAAAATCCAAATCAAACACCAGCAATGCTGGATAGCATGTCCAGATTGCAATCAACCTATCACACGCAGCAAGCAACTCTAAGGATCGACTAAACCGATCTAGAGATCGATTATGCCGATCAAGAGCCCGTCCTTTGCCGTGAAAGCCTAGAAACATGTCCCGAGTGGAACCATCGTTGAGGAGCACGCCAAGGGTTGTTCTAGGATCAGCACAGGTTACCTAGAACGCTGATGAATCTCATAGAGAGATGCAACAAACACCAAGAGGGTTGGAAAAGGGGCAAAACTTTTGTTAATAGATGCAAAAAATACCATTGAGTGTTGGATCCTTGAATCGGCCGTGATCCTCTGATACATATAGAGAGGGATGGTTTTATTATAGTAGGAAACAAGTCCAACACATGTTCTCCATGTTTCCTACACGAAAATAGATACAAAACCTTATTTGGAAGGAGACTGGCTCGGACTCCAGCACGGAAACTGGCCTAGCTAGGACCCAAACTGGCTAGGCCAGTTTTGTCGAGGCCAAGCCAGCCCAGCAGGCGGCCAGAGCTGGGGAACCGGCCAGGCCGGCTCGGCGGAGGCGTTGTATAGGACCGGCCTAGCCAGGTTCCAATCCAGCTAGGCCGGTTTCGTCGGGGGCGGGAGGGGGGCAGCATCAGGGGCGCGGCCAGCAATGCAGGAACTGCCCTAGCCGGTTAGGGAGGCCGGCCACACCGGTTGGGCAAGGATGGACGCCTCCTTTTCCTCTTTCCCAAGACCCAATGTGGTGATCCAAAATATGTTTGGGACCTTTTCATCATCATAAACATCATCACAATATTCTCTAGCTGTTTTTGGTCATCAACAATTAGATTTTATAGAAAATGGTACAAACATTTATGTCTCCAAATAGTTTTACTATAATATTATATTCCATATTTAACCTAATAATATTTATTCAGCATCAAAGATATTAGTACATGTAAATTGAGCATAGCTTAGCTGGTTAGTTCCCTTATGTGGGTCCTATCCACTCGGAATGAAGTCCTCGACATGACACGGATGCTCACATTTTCTTAAATTTATTATAGGATTTAACGACGACGATCTTCCAGTGGAAGTCCAAAACATGTCCATCAATTGGAAAGCCACAAGGGTAGGTTGTTCGTGCGATGTTTGAAGGTATGTGCCAGCAAAAAGATGATATTGGAAGTTGTTCTTTTAAAGTTTATAGGGTGTCGGGTTTAAGGAATCACTTCATTTTAGATGAGGTGGTGCAACATAAATCCATTGCCCAGATTTGGTGGAATGACCATATTTCTCGTACTAGTACTAATTATCTGTTTGTAGGAAATGAGGTGATGAAGGACCAACCCATTCTATTGCACAAACCAAACAAAAAATGATGAGTCAGAAGTTTATATATTGACAAAATAGCAAAGGGGCGAAAAACATCAAGTAGAACAAGCAATTTGTTTATACTAGTAATAATAATCATTACTTAAAAGCCTAAAAGTAATTTTGGCATGGACAAAGATATATCCCTAGTCTTTTAAGATCAAATCCCCAAGTTCATTTAAAGCTCTATATACAAACACAGGCAGTGGTTTATTTTGCACCACGCCAAAAGCCCAAACTAGGCCATAGTGTCGCGAGTAAAAAGGGTCCAAATAACACCTGGCCGCTGTGCCAGCATTTGGCCTAGACGTCATGTTAAATAAGGCAGCATTCAGAGTAGTACTTTCGTCCGCCGCGTTGGTACACATTGTGATCAACCAAAACACCTATTTATAGGGAGGATTCAGAGTTGTTTGAATGGAAGAAATTAAAATAGCGTGCTCAGCTTGTCAACGTGAGTAGTACTTAATTTCGTCCGCCGCGTTGGTACACATTGTGTAAATTCCACGGACGCAACGTGCACTCGGTGGAAAGTTTTTTGTTCCATACATGTTGATATTGCATGGCGCAACGTGCTCTTCATATCGAGTGTACAACATATATACCCAAGAAGTTTTGTCATCTAAAGACGAGGATGTACGTCGCGTAGCTAAAAATAATGCTTGCAGCATGTCTCAAAGTCGTCGTAGCTAGAAATAATGCGCGTTCAAGGATTATTAGGAATACCGGAGTACTACGACTGCCCACGTGTGTGTGTGTGTCTATATATATATATATATATATATATATATATATAGAGAGAGAGAAGAGAGAGAGAGAGAGAGAGAGAGAGAGAGAGAGAGAGAGAGAGAGAGAGAGAGAGAGTATGTCTATATGTCTTCATGTGCAAAAGTAAAGTCAGCATGCACATATATATAAATAATGTACTACGACCGCCCACGTTGCTTGTCCGCCCATATATGCATCTCCAATTTCCACGCCTCAAATTGAAGATATGCATGCTTGCTTTCACGCCTTTTTTTAGAAAAGAAGTGGAAAAGAGATAATATAACCAGGTTGACCCGCATATCTCGAGATCAAGGCATGCAATCTCCAATGGTGGTTAACCTCTATCATGACTTGAGTTTTTGCAAGCGCTAGGAATTACTCCCTCACTCTCAAATTTTCTTAAATTCAACTAGATTTATAGAAAATAGTACAAAGATTTATGTCTCCAAATAGACTTACTATAACAATTTGTTTCATAATTACCCTAATAATATTTACTCAATATCATAGATATTAGTACTTGCGAATTGAGCACAGCTTAGCTAGTTAGGTCCCTTATGTTGGATCCTATCCACTCAGGGTGAAGTCCTAGACTTGACACGTATGAATGCTCATATTTTCTTGGTTTATTTTAGAGGATGAAGTCCTAGACCTGATATGTATGAATGCTCATATTTTCTTAGATTTATTTTAAGAGTTAATGACGATGGTCCTTCAGTGGAAGACCAGTATGTGTTCATCGCCAGAAAGGCGCCTGCAGTTACTCCATCAATATCAAGAATTGCCATCGATGTTTTCCAGAGATACCGATAGGCCACAGGGGTATCGTGTTTGTGCAATGTTTGAGTGTATGCGTCAGCAATTATGTTAATATTGGAAATTGTTCTTTTTTCAAAGTTTATATGGTATTTGGTTTAAGCAGGAATCACTTCGTTCACTAGTAGAGAACAGACCTTTCATCTGAAGCCAAAATGAGCTCTAGTCCCGACATTTTTTACGTCCGGGACTAGAGAGACCTTTAGTCCCGGTTGGTGTCTCCAACCGGGACTAAAAGTCCCCTGCCATCTGCCGAGCGCAGATGGCCGTTAAGCGGGGGACCTTTAGTCCCGGTTGGAGACACCAACCAGGACTAAAGGTGGACCTTTACTCCCGGTTGGAGCCACCAACCAGGACTAAAAGTCCTTCAACCTTTAGTCCCGGTTGGTAACACCAACCTGGACTAAAGGTCCCCCGATGGGTTAGTTCAAAAGGGAAGCATCCCATCTATTGTTAGATGTGTTGTGTAGGTGGGGTGGTAAGCTACACGCGAGGCAATGCGTGAGGTCTTGGGTTCGAATCTCACGGGACGCAGCGGTGGGAGGCATTATTTTTTTAAAGCTGGGAGGACCTTTAGTCCCGGTTGGTGTTACCCACCGGGACTAAAGGACCCCACCCGGGACTAAAGGACCCCCTTTAGTCCCGGATGCTTGCTCCCGGGTGGGGAACCGGGACTAGAGGGGGTTCCCCACCGGGAGTAAAGCCCGTCTCTATATTAGTGGTTGTAGATAAGGTGGTGCATCATGAATCCATTATCTAGATTTGGTGGAATGACCATATGCCACGTACTAGTACTAATTATCCACTAGTAGGGAATGAGGTACCCATGGACCAACACATTCTATTTCACAAACCAAACAAAAAAAGGATGAGCTTCTAAAAACATCAAAACAAGGAGGAGTTGGAAGTTTATATATTGACTGAATAGCAAAGGGATGAAAAAAATCATGTAGAACAAGCAATTTGTTTTATACAAGTAATCATTACTTAAATGTCTAAAAGTAATTTTGGCATGGACAAAATGTATCCCTAATCTTTTTAAGATCAAATCGCGAAGTTTTTTTTTGAGAATAGATCAATTCCCAAAGTTCATTTAAAGTCGTATATACAAACACAACTCATGCCTTGCTTCAGGCCAAAAAGGGGCCCAAGTAACATCATCTGGCCGTTGTGCCATGTGTTCAAGGCTAGGGTGTACAAAATCTCGTTCAATCTTGAGGGATATGTCCAAGCTGATAATTCAACTGACGGTGATTCTGGAGGTGTTGAGGAATTAGAGGAAGATCACTTATTGGATGATGATGATCCTAATGACAATCCCAAAGAGAATGATGATGACCCAAAGAAGGACAAGGACCATGAACCACAAGAGAGGGAGTTACCTGAACCGTCAGATAAACCACAGGGAGGTGATAGCTCTTCTACGGGTGGCAAATTGGCCAAAACATCGATGTTGTTTGAGGATGATAGTTTCCCAACTCAGTAGGATGCCATAGCAAATGATTGTGCAAATATGCTTGGAGCCATGGAATTAGAAGTGGAGGAAGCTGATGATGAAGTTCTAGATGATGAAAGTTCCTTGATGCTACAAGATGACAATGAGAAAATCCGCTTACCGATTTAGTGGATATATGATCTCGCAAGCAAAGAACCAAAGTGTCGGTGTTTCGTACAAGCACCGGCAAGTAAATTTATAGTAATGCGCATTAGGCTTGGATGGTGCGCCAAAGGACACAATATTTATACTTGGTTCGGGCCGAATATCCCTACGTCCAGCTTGTTTGCAACTCGTGTTATTAGCACCGTGAATGGTTCGTAGTAGGGGATACAAACGATCGAGAGAGGGACATGTCCTCGATCTCGATGGAAGGGTCGAAAGAAACCAAGAGCTTGGTAGCAGCTTGACTATGTGTGCGTGTTATGTTGTTTTTCGTCCCCTCTTTCTTTGGAGGCGCATCCCCTTTTATAGATGAAGGGGCGACTTTACAAGGGTCGGGGCTTAGGATGCGTGCTCTACCTAGCCTTGTGGCTCACGTCTACCCAGCCTCGTTACCCATTCGATGGGTGTGAAAGGATGATAAGCGCCTACAATCTGCCGATGCCTCTGTAGAATGTCGGGGATGGTTACAGAATAGTGCCCTATGCGGGGGTATGGGCTGTAGTACCGTGGTTTTGACTTATGAACCTCGCCCAACCTTGCTCAGCACGCCTTCTGGCTCCTATGAGTCTCTGTCGGAGGGACACAGAGTTGAGGTCTGGAGTAGCACTGTGGGCAAGGTCCTTTGATTTGGTGGACCCGAGGGGTCGTGGAAGCGCGCGCCCGCTCCTTGGGTCCATAACATGGTGACGGCATGTCCATCATTCGTGGAGATCACAAATCCTTTTATAGAGTGTAGTGGTTGTCGTGTATCTTCATCGGGTTCCGTGTCCTAGAGCTGAAGGCGGCGCCTACAACTCTACAGGGCGAGGAGTATGCACCTGCAATACCTTTTGGGCTCTGTGGCGCTCGGAAGGGTTTAAAGCACCTGTCCAATCATTCCCTGGCAGTACCTTTCATGCCAGGGCGCAGGGTATGGTCCTTGAAGCCGTGGTTGACCCAAATGTCTTGTCTTGCTCTGTACCCATCATCATGAGGGAACGGGAGAGAAGTTATCAGGTAAGATGAAACCAGTCTTTGGACATCGAATGGGGTGAGGTTCATCCTTGGTCATCGGGCGAGGCAGAGCCCAGTCCTTATCCCCTGGGCGTGACCGAGCCCACCCCTCGGGGGTCGGGCGAGGCGGAGTGTATCCCTCAACCCTCGGACGAGGCGGAGACTAGCCTTCAGCCCTCGGGCGAGGCGGAGCTGTCCCGAAGGCGTCGGGCGGAACGGAGGCTAGCCCTTTGCCCTCGGTGTGACCGAGCCCACCCCTCGGGGGTCGGGCGAGGCGGAGTGTATCCCTCAACCCTCGGGCGAGGCGGAGACTAGCCTTCAGCCCTCGGGCGAGGCGGAGCTGTCCCGAAGGTGTCGGGCGGAACGGAGGCCAGCCCTTTGCCCTCGGGCGAGGCGGGGCTGGCCCAAAGGCATTGGGCGAGACGGAACCTAACTTTTGTCATTCGGGCAAGGAACGCAGTGGCGCCCTTGTCCGTCCTGAAGTTTTTTAACGTTCGATGGTTATTGGTTCCACCTTCTGGGGTACCCTGGTATTAGGTCCCCGACAGTAGCCCCCGAGCCTCCAGGTGATTCGGATAGAACCGCCTAGAGGGTGTTTTCGATTTCGTTGGAGTCATTTTGCCAGAGGATGCGCGCGAGCGCACCCTATGGGCGTAGCCCCCGAGCCTCCAGGTGATTCAGATAGAACCGCCTGGGGGGTTGTATCGGACCCTTCGCGGGTAAGGCTGAAGGACTTAGTTTTTCGTCAAATGGATATTTTTTCGAGGGGGTCGTGGTATCCTGTTCGCGGGGATCTCATTCAGGGCTGACCTAACTGGGGTTTGACCGTGGATTGAGACCCAAAGAATGCTTGCGCCTTGATTTCGGATCGTTCGTGGACCCGTCCTCAGGCCGGCCGCCAAGCTTCTGGGCCCTAGGTGGGCCAAATAGAAAAAATCTTTGTGACCTGCCTTCCCCAGGTGGGAAGAGAGTCCGGATTCGCTTGGGGAAGGCGAACCGTCCATCGTGATTTTCGGTGGGAAAGGATAGGGACTACGGGCGCGTGTCCCGTGACGTGACGCGGCGGTGCGCGTGGCGAGCCCGGAGATCGAGGCGACGATTGCCCTTCTCGCGCCGTCGCCCCTATAAAACCACGGGGTTTGCCCCCAAGGTTCCGTATTTCGCCCCCTTGCCTTTGCGTCTGAGACATCCATCGCCAATCGCCCCAGCCTCCTGCGCTCGCACCACCACCGTCGATCGGCTTGCATCCATGTTGCAGCTACCATCAAGCTTGCGCCTGTCCTGTAGCCGCCGTCGATCTTGCGCCCACCTTCTCCCCAATCGCTTTAATGGAGTTGTGGGGCAGATCTAGCATCACCTCTTGGCGTTTGGAGGGCCTCGTCCGCCGTGGCCTTCTCCGTCCATTGTCCGCCGTCCAGGAGTGGCTGATACCTGGTGACGAGGGTGAGCCGGCGCCGCCCGAAGGGTATGTCGTATCTTTCGCCATCTTTCATGAGCGGGGATTTGCGGTACCCGCGCATAGATTCCTTCGGGGGCTGCTGGATTACTATGAGGTGGAGCTGCAGCATCTTACTCCCAACGGGGTTCAACATATGGCGGCGTTTGTTGCCCTGTGTGAGGGTTTCCTGGGGATCGATCCCCATTTTGATCTGTGGCGGTATTTCTTTACCGTTAGTTTGTCGAAGAGGAAGATTGGGGGGAAGGATGTGAGCGTGCCGATGGGATGCGCCAGTATTCATCTGCGCCATACCCGGTCGAGGGGTTACCCGTTCATGCATCTGGTGACGTCTAACAAGGGATGGCACTCGCAGTGGTTTTATATCAGGGATGATGCGAGTGCCACCCTGCCGAGGTACCCCGGGTGCCTTATCAAAGAGGCTCCGGAGTCGTGGGCTTGGGGCATCCAGTCCAAAGACAAGAAACACCTTTCCGACCTTCTTTTCGCCCTCCAAGCTCTGAAGGAACGGGGCGTAAAGGGGACGGGAATTATCAGTGCCTATCATGCGAGGAGGGTGGCGCTGCTGATGATGCGCACGCTTCCCCTACACCGGATGATGCCCGAGATATCGTTCGAGGGGACGGTGCTTGTTGACGAGGCGCTCCCTTTCTCGCAAGTGGCGCAGCGCATTAAGGTGGCAACGGAGCCGACGAAGGATTCCAAAGGCGGCGTCCTCGACATTGTGTATCCGGTGCCCGAACATCCCCAATGCGGCCGGAACCTGGGTTCTTCGAATTCATAAGCCTTCTTCTCCCGTGCTCTTTCTTTTTCCTGAATCTCCATTTTTTTTGATACTTGCTTTTGCGACGTTGGGACCAGCCGGGGGGGCTAGTCTTCAAAGATAGTCCGGTTCTGCTGCCAAAGGACAAGGCCGTGGCGGCGGCGAATCGCTTCGTGGCTGAGCGGGACAAGAAGGCAAGGGAGCAGATGAAGAAGGAGAGATGATGAAGCGAGAAGCACGGATCGGGAGAGGACGTGGCGCGTGATGATGATTGTTGCGGAAATGCCGCTCCGGCGTTCTGGCGGCGGCGGCGAGGTTTCGCCGTCCTGGTGGCCGCTGCCGTGACGGGCGCCAACGCGCCCTCCTTCAGCGGTACGGGCGCCGCACACCTCCGCCACATCCCCAACCCCATCGACGAGTCCGCCGACCCCATCGCCGACTTCCGCGCCCTCCCTCCAACTCCGCCGCCCCCCCGCCGCCGGGAGGCCGCAGGTCCTGCTCCCTCTCCCCTCTCGAACCCTATATCCGCCTTTGTACTTGTTTCACTGCTTGGGTCCAATGGTTCTGGGTATCGTTCTGAACGGCCGCATTGGTGCTGTTCTGCGGTTGTCAGTTTTGGTTTTCAGGCAACACAACTGACTCGTTTATACAGTATATATGGTAATTTGTTGTGGAATTGGTTACGTTTTCTAATCTAAGACGAGTAATTGATAACTGATGATGTGAATTAATCAAAGAATCAAAGAAACTAACTAAAACATGGAGGTTTGATGTGAAATTGTGGGTGCAGAGTACTGTATCCCTGCATCAGATTCAATTTTAATCAGTACATCATTGTTAGTCTGCACAAGTCAGAGTATTTGCTTCATAGATTTGAAATTCCGACCTATAGACACCTGATTATTGTGAAGCAGTTAATAGATACCTGATTATTGGAAAGCAGTCAATTCCAAGCGACATGGAAGTCCTGATGGTGTGTCTGGTTCTTCGCAGAAGATGGCAATTTCTTCTTTGGGCTAGCGACCGCGCTGGCGCATGTCGAGGACAGGTTGGAAGATGCTTGGCTTCAGTTTGCAGTCGAGCATTCCTGCGATGACAAGGAGGCCATGTGTGACCATAAGACAGCAGACGCGGTGATGGCATCGGCTGCAGGGGACGGAGGCGCTCAGTTGGCTTCTAGGTCTAGAGGGGACGAAAAGGCTGGCGATGGAGAGAAGAGGAAGCCTCTTAAGGTTGCCATGGAGGCGATGCTCAGGGGGTTTGAAATGTTTGTCGAGGGTGGTGAATCTGGTTCTGGCGATAATTGCAGCCACAACGTCGCAGCTTGGCACAATGTTCCTTGCCCGTAAGTGCATTTTGTCTTTTCTCACTTCCAACTTTTTCGTTATGTGCTAATATTCTAGATGCTGTCTTTTTCCTGAACAGTATTGTGCATAATGTGTTGCTTACACACAATGGACTCTCACATGTGGGCAAACTGTACCGATTTGTTCAGGCAAGAAAGGCTTAAATTTTGGTCTGATCCCGATACTGAGTTGAAACTTGCTAAGGAAACTGGGATCAGTGTTTTCCGCCTGGGGATTGATTGGACAAGGGTAATGCCTAAGGAACCAACTGAAGAGTTGAAGAGTTCAGTAAGTCTTAGGAACCTAGTCTGCACTTCATGTGCTTTCTCTGAACACCTATACTCTTTCTTCTCTGTGTAGTGTGTTGTACTCTCTGCAATGGTGGAATAAGACAGCCATCACCTTTTCTAGGTCAATTTCGCAGCACTTGAGCGGTATAGATGGATCATTCAAAGGCTTCATGAATATGGAATGAAAGTGATGCTTACGCTATTTCACCACTCACTTCCACCTTGGGCTGGAGAGTATGGGGGTGGAGGATGGAAAAAACCGTGAAGTACTTTATGGATTTTGTGCGGTAATCCTTTCTAGCAGTCAAAACTGGCTGTCAGTACTCTTCCATTACATGAATCTGTTCAAATAAAGTTAGTTTTGGCTGTGCAGGCTTGTTGTTGATCGTGTATCTGATTTGGTGGACTACTGGGTGGTTTTAATGAACCTCATGTGTTTGTAATGCTGACCTATTGTGCTGGTGCTTGGCCTGGTGGAGACCCTAATGCAATTGAAGTAGCAACATCTGCTTTACCGACTGGTGTATATAACCAAGCATTACATTGGATGGCCATTGCACATGCAGAAGCCTATGACTACATACATTCAGAAAGTGCGTTAAAAAAAACATACATTCAGAAAGGTATATAATATGTTACTTGAAATGCAATTTCTCATGAATTTCCACAATTCTGAGTTGAACTCTTTGGTGGTGTTTTACAGCAAAAGTAAAAGGAAGCCAATCGTTGGTGTCGCTCATCATGTATCGTTTACACGGCCCTATGGTCTATTTGATGTTGCTGCTGTCACACTGGCTAATTCATTGACCCTTTTCCCTTACATTGATAGCATATGTGATAAATTGGATTTTATTGGCATCAACTACTATGGGCAGGTAAATTAAATACTAGCTGCTTAGATAAATGATCTGAACATGTAAACAACAGGAGTTGATTACTCCATTTTCATGCAGGAGGTGATATCAGGCCCTGGTCTAAAGCTTGTGGACAATGATTAGTACAGTGAATCTGGTCGTGGTGTTTATCCTGATGGGCTGTTTCGTATCCTGATTCAGTTTAATGAACGATACAAGAGCTTGAATATACCTTTTATAATTACTGAAAATGGAGTTTCTGACGAGACTGATCTGATTCGGAAACCATATATTCTGGAGCACCTGTTAGCCATTTATGCTGCAATCATTATGGTCCGGTCTTAAATTAATTTGTAATGAAACATTCCTTACTGTCATGTATCTGTAACTTCCAGCACTGATAGACATTGTTTTGAAGGGTGTGCCTGTGCTTGGTTATCTATTCTGGACGATGTCAGATAATTGGGAATGGGCAGATGGCTATGGTCCCAAGTTTGGGCTTGTAGCTGTTGGTCGTGCTAATAACCTAGCACGGAAACCTAGGCCTTCATACTATTTATTCTCCAAGGTTATCCCTGATCTCAGCAAATTATTATACAGTATCCTGTGTACACATTGTCCGCAAAAGTATAAAACAAATTTGTAATGTTTGTGCATTTTGTTTCTTGGGTCCCTTGTTTTGCATAAATTGTGCAGACTTGTGATAATTTAATTTCTCTCTCTTTTTTTTTTCCGTATGAGCATTTGGTGTTTCTCTGATGATCTTAACAAAATGCACTTGAACTTCAGGTTGTTAGAACTGGGAAAATTACAAGACAGGACAGGCTGGGTGCTTGGAGGGAGCTGCAACAAGCAGCATTTCAGAAGAAAACACGCCCATTTTTCAGGGCTGTAGATAAACATGGTCGGATGTATGCAGGTATGTGCTGATTCTTCCCGAAACATTCTGTTATATTATTAAATTGACATTATTCATGGGTAATGGCTTGTTTCTCTTAAAACAACTTGATAAGTAGGATAAACAAAAACTATTGACATATTGTAAAATATGCCAATGGCTACTGCCTTCAGGCTTCTTGGAGTCGAGAGTGTCGCTCCATGTTAGTTTTTCTTATATTGAATTCATACCACAACTCCTTCAGTTGAGTTACATAATTTTTTTTGATACAGTTGAGTTACATAATTACCAAAGGGCATATAGAGAGACAAAAAACCTAGCTGAAATAGAAATTTTAGTTGGTATAAACTGTGGTTGCTGTCTCCACCTAAGAAAAATGAGCCTTTTGTTCTTCAGGGGGTTTAGATCGGCCTATCCAGAGATCATTCATATTGCGGGATTGGCGATTTGGTCATTATGAAATGGAAGGCTTGCAGGATCCTTTCAGTCACTTTATAAGATCCATTTTTCACCAATTTTGCGCAAGAAGAAGATTCATTACATTGAGTATGAGGATATTTCTTATGCTATTTCTCCCTGATGCTTGTTACTCTAGTTGGTGAGTCGAGAGAATTTCAGAATCTGATTTTTGATTTTTCCCTTTCACCATATATCATCTATCTAAAATTGCTTGCTCTTGTTTCTGTAGGTAAGTAGCATGATTTGTCCTCTAGATAAAGTAAATAAAAAGTTCTGTGAAGCAGAAGTTTCTCTTTTGTGGATAAATTGCAATGTGCACTATTTATCATGGCAGTAAGTATCTTATATATACCTTTCTTTTATTTTATTATTATCTCCTCTGGAATTATTTGCATGTTAAATTCTTCATTTGACTGAAGATTTGGCTGTTTTAGCATCATGTGGACCCATATCCTACTAAATTTTGTTTTACCAACTCAAAATATCTACATCTGCTAAGACCCATGTCTTGCACTTCTTAATGGAAGATGCCTTATGGAGAAATGTCTGACTGACCATGTGGGCAACAAAGACATTGTTGTCTAATCCTCTGTGATTCATTAACGTCTTTGTGAATATACACATTCAAGTCATGTGAGTTAATGGCTGCTATTTCTGGTCTAAATCCTGCATCCATCACATGATCAGACGTACTATCATTATAGGAGTTTCAAACTAACTCTGACACTATTTTTCCAAGTAATCCCCTGTATAAGTATATCCACCATGCATCAGTCATGCATGAGTTATCTTCCCACATTTATAATTTTTATTATCCATTATATATCATTGACCATAGTCTCCATAAAGAAATGAAATTTTATCATAAAGTAAGCTGGCTTGGTCACAGTTAGGATATTTACCAATGCCATTATGAGGTGAGTGGCATACAAATGATTTAACTGGGGTGCGAAGGTTTTGAGTAAAATTGAGATAAAACCTGTCAGCAGAAGGTACAATGATAGCCAATTATTCTCGTTAAGTGAAGTTGACACATGTAGCCATGCAGGGGCTATTTGGTTCTGTAATTGAATTCGTCCTTAACGGGGTGGGTGTAGGATGGGAGATGGTCTGGTTTCATAGTACTTTGATGCACAAAGCGATTATGCCTAACAGTGTTGGCCAATTTTAAGAATTCGGTGCGATCAATGCAGATCTATCCTCTACAAGCTCATGGTTTCAAGTGCTCCTCCCGTCCTCAAAATTTAGTACCGCCATATCTTATTGTAACAGTTCTGGTCCTTACCTGACTTTTGGGAACTTCTCTAAAGGCCGTGTATGTCTTCTATGAAGGAACCAGTCCACTAACTTCTGTATGTAGGCTACATTACATAGTACAGGACAACTACATTTGTGGTATGTGCATATCCTGATATCAACTGATAGGGTTGGTCATGCACTCTGCTGTAACTACCCCCTCCGTCCGTGTAAAAGGATGCAATTTCAGTGGGATCCGTAGTAAAAGATTTTTTTGGAAAAAATATAGTAAAGATTCCTTCGGGCTATGATTTTCTTTGTAACTTTTTTTGTCTCGTAATGCCTGTTGTAAACACTTTCTTTCATTAATAAAAGCACAGTAGGGGCTTGCACCTCCTGTTTTTCCTCAAAAAAAAAAAAAGATTCCTTCGAGCTAGTTCCTATCCACGAATCCTCTGGTCTTCTCCCCGTGCGATCCTCCTCAGGCTCCACCGCCCCCCAACCCCAGCCTGAAGGCTGCTTGCACAAGCTTCTGGCGGAGGGGGCCGAGCTTCGCCATGCCACGCACCACCCGTGGTGGCTGAGTACCACTGGCCGGCTTTGACATGAATGGGCCTGAATCTGGTGCAGGGTGGTTGATCACAGACAGGGGGTATATTGGTAATTTCACATATTCCTAGTCTCTCCAGGGAACGTAGACGAGAAGGAGTACATCCTTTTGAAGCTGAACTACTGGACATGTTAATCATTGATCTCTTGGTGCTAAACAATCTTATACCGAGTCTTAGCAATAACATATATTGAGTTTCCTTGTCATCAAGGTTGTTCGGTCTTGATTTTTGTGGTATGGTCTCACAGCCCTACTGTCTATTGGACCACTTTGATCCTAACCCTAGTTTGATCTCGCTCCCTCAATCCATAAAAGCATATCATTTGGTTTTTGGGCATCAGCATGGGCTCCAAAATGCAGCATCTATATTTAGTACATCTTTAAATCATAGTAAGTCATTAGTATTATAAAAGTATTTCGGAAGGCAAACTTGCATGTATCCAAAAATGACATTTTGTAGTGGGAAAACCTCATAATATAGAAGCCAACGAATTGTACTTTGAATAATCATGATTTTGTTGATCATCCCATGGTCTGATGATACAGTCCTAGGATCTTGATTCTATAAACAGGAAAACGTCCTAGGATCCTGATTCTATAAACAGGAAAATGGTCCCTACCACCTTACTTGATGGTTTGTATAGCTAGCTAACCTTGACTGTCTCGTATTTTAATCTCGTGGGTAAAACTTTCATCTTCCACTTGTGCACCTGCTAAAGTCTATTATTGCAACAACAACAAATGGTTGCAAAGACCATTTATAGATCATAATTACAAGTCATGCAAATATTATTTTCCCTTTTATAGATTAGACTTTTGTTCCTTCTTATTCACATGCCTTTTCATGTCTTTTTTTTTGTGAAGTAAAGATGGAAAATAAAAAATACATAACACTTCATAGTATTGTGTCGTCTGAAAATATGATGAAAAATATGACAGGAAAGCATCATGTAATGGTATTTTCTCTGAAAAGATATTAGTAATATAGAGGTATATCTCCAAAGGTGTTATTTTATTCGTATAGTACATGGAAAAGTAATCATGCGGTGATATTTTCTCTGCAAAGAGAAAAAAGGAAACATCTCATAGAAGTCCACAACATGCTTCATATTAGTAATATAGAGCTACATAGTACATGAAAGGAAGTTCGGAGGTTGCCTTACAGGACATTAGATGCCAGGGCAATCATACAACTGCAGTATATAGGAAGAACTTTGGGTTATCACTTTCGAAGTACATAGACAGACAATAAAGCACTAGTTCAATCATTATTTAAATATGTAGGATTAAGGGCTGATGATGACCGTTAAATCCAAATACCAGTGGTGGATGCAGAAGGCTCAGTTGTTTTAACAACTCGTGGAGCTCTCTCCATGAGGACCACTGGTTTCAGTGCAGCACAGTTCATCTTCACATTCTCCTTCACTGGGACATGGAAAGCTGATGCAGGGAAGGTTTTGGTAATCCCAGCAATGCTCTTGCAGATAAGCTTCCCAGTTGCTGGATCATCAAGAGCAATCTCCTCCACTGGGACCCACACCATGAGCTCCCTGGTCTTTATCCCTTTTACCTTCTTGATCCTGCCCTTCTCAGCATAGCCGGTGATCTCTGTGCCATAAGAGACCAGCCTTCCTAGACTCTGGAAGGTGTGGTCAACCCTCTTGCTTTGCTTGAGCCACACATATCCAGTTTCCTGGACATAACCACACTCAATTAGGTCCTTCAATGGAAGCAGACCATTGGGGAGGCCTGCTTCCCTGAGCAAGAGCTGGGTACACAGTTGGCAGATCTCGTCGCCGTAGTAGACCTCAGCCTTGGTCTTGAGTTCATCGGCTATAAGAGCCATGTTCTATGGGCTATATCTCTTTTCTCCCACTCTCACCTTTCTTTTTCTTTGCTCTGATCACGTTTTGAGGCTTTGCTGTGTGTGATATGATTCTGCAGTGCATGGCTGGCTTTATATAGGAAATGCCTTATAAAATTGTGCTTCAACATGTTAGAATTTTCCATCTTGCCATTGTCTATGAAGGACATATAACATATAATAATGGTCATAAAACCTGTAGGGTCCTCTTCTCAGGTTTAATGTTGAAGCAGTGTAAAATATCTTGTGTGTAGAGTACAAGATGGCCCAACTGGAGTTATGTCATGTGACCACCGGTTGAGACTTGGAGTCTACCCACCGGTCATGGTAGTTCACACTATTTAGTTTTGATTCATTTTTTCTATCTCGCCCTCTCGGTACAAATAAATGGTCCAAACTCTTGTATATAGTTGAGCAATTGGAGAGTATACATGGATAGTTGAACAGGTAGAAATGCATGTAAGTCACTAGTGTTGGTTTCTGACATAGAAAAGTTGCCTCAGGTGAGATCAGAGTTCTACTAGTGCCCCTGCTGTCTCTGTTTTGCTGGACATCTTTGAAAAATTATCTTTGAAGAATGTGTATTGTATGAGCTATTTTGTTTGATCGGTATTGTGTGAGCTATTTGAGTGAGAGGAGAGTGTTATAGATTGGCTTATAAGAATGTATACTTCCTCCGTTCCGACCTCCAAATTATAAGTCATTCCAACTTTCTTGAAGAGTCAATGCATCTTAGTTCGATCAAAATTACAGAGAGAATTACAAAGATTTATGATAACAAATAGGTATACTACGAAAAATATAATTAATGAAGAATTAAATGTTATTATTTTATTATATAAATTTGGTCAAACTTGAGATGTTTTGACTCTATAAGAAAGTTAGAGTGGCTTATAATTTGGGACGGAGGGAGTATAACCAAAAAAGATGTGGATATTGAGCTGGAGAGTAGATATTGAGCAAGAGAGTAACTTGGGTATGTTAAAACTTAAAACAAGAACATAACTTATACTAATTTCTGAATTTGGTGGTGGGGTGTAGTAATTTATTGGAACATAAAACTGTTCTGGCATGTCATTGAGATTCGTATGAGTGAGTTACCAAGCATGTTCTGTGAAAGTTACGAGTTACCAAACATGTGCTGAATTTATCTGGTACAGATTTATCCTGGCACCTGGGACCCTTCTGCAGCAACATCTTGATTGACACCTAAATTTGACTTACGGATCTATCTAGTACAATCTTTATTGAAGACGAAAGATTTATGAATGGAGCCTGTTAAGGATCATGTGCGAAGAAAAGAAAGCAAAAGGAGCACAGAGAAGGATCAGATTGGAGTCCGTAGTTTGTTAAGCTCCTGTATGAAGTACACGTGCAATACACGGAAGGCATCAGGATATTATACATAGAAGCAAAGAAAAGGATACTTTACTTCGGCAACGTTGCACGGAAGGAAACACCAAGACAAGTCCAAGGTTGTTGACGTAGTGCATGCAACATGCATTGATCTTGGATGCAACTTTGTTTGCTTGAAGACGACGACCAGTGACCTGTTCTTTTTGGGATACATCGGCCGTGGAACAAAGACCGACATAGTTGTGTATTTACGAATGCAAAATACCGAAAATGTTTCTATTCGGCTCGGAATTTCTATTTGTAAAAGACAGACTAACCGTTCTATATAATTATAAAGGGTGACGGCAGATTGACAAATCCAACACTCAATCATCAAAATCAATCTACCTTATACTTTTTATCTTCTATATGCCTCGAGCTTTTTCAATCCTCTTGTTGTACAGCACATCTCTCGATGAGATATATCAGGGTTCTCTGTG